ACACACGGTTTAAGATGGAAGACGGTTTTTATGTTTTTTATTTTCTTGTTTGTTTATGTATGTTTGTGTTTGCTGTAAAAAAATAAAAAACTTAAAAAAAAAATCAAGATGGCAGAGAGCTTCTTTTCCCATCTCTCAGGTCATGTCCTCAATGCTGATTTAATTCCTAAACTCATAGTATAGTAGTAAACAATAATCAGTTCATAGGAATAAAATCTCAAGACCAATTTATGAAGTTGTGTTCTCAATAATGTACTTTCCTGAACAGCAACTAAGAACAACCTGTCCCATATCTTGACTTATTTATTTGTATGCATGTATGCTAGATTTATATCTTGCATTTTTTGTTCAGGAGCTCAAGGCAATATACATAGTTTTCTCCCCATTTCTCCCTAGAATAACAATCCTGTGAGTTAGGTTGGGCTGAGAGAGAACAACCAGCCCAATGGGAGGTTTCACGGCTAAGGACATGTGAGCCTGGGTCTCGCTTGATGCCAGGCCAGCACCTTAACCACTACACCACATTGGTGTATTTCCTTTTCCATGTTGCTCAAGCCACTTGTGCGTCCTGCATAGGAACCTCACCGTGCATCTACAGCCAACACTTGCTGCCACACTGCTGCCATGCCCCACACCGCCACTGGCCGCTCAGGGGAGCTGGTAACTGGGTGCCTGCAGTCAGAAGGTTACAAAGAGCTTAGGGTGAGAGATGAATTTAAAATGGGAAACAATGTAATATAGTTCCATTTTCCAACATGCAAGTTTCAGCTCTACAAATAGCTAGGACCAAATCATTTATTTAGGATGACCAGTTTTAAATTTGTTAAATTTGAGTAAAAGCAACAGCTAGAGAAAACAGAAAATGTACATCCCACTGCATTACAAGAATTCTGTGACTGGCTTTGACAAACCAATTTCAACAAACAACCTCACCATCCTTAATGGCATTTTTTTAGTGGTATATAATTTTTTGCAGAATATCAACTGTAAATCTCAGACTTACCATCATTGTACATTCTCACTCCCACCTCCACCCCAGAGGAAAGAAAGGTTAGATTTTAAACTGAGGACCCAGGATGTTCCTTTCACATACTGGCAACTACAACATAGGAGTAGATGAAGGCCTGATATTTTTGCATGGTTCTAGATCAGCAATAATGAAACTGATTCAGGTCTGCCCTATCTCTTCTGCATTTATGAGTGTTGGTCTAACACATCTGGAGGAATCAAGTTTGGAAGACTGCATAAAAGAATCTACACTTCAGTGTAAAGATAACCTTCATACCACCGTTGGGCAAAAGGGAGGGGGTTCAACCTCCAAATTTAGGAACTTAGCCATGCTTACAAGAGCATATCTAAATTAGTCAAATCCAGGCCTCTGTAGGGCCTTATGTGAGCTCTACCATTTCCTCACCTCTCCACAAACAGCATCCTATTTTTGTTAGAAAGGTTGCCTAAAGGAGCCCAAATGACAGAGGGGGCAAAAGGGCCGATACTCTAATGTGTTATTATTCTATCAATGAGAAGTAATGCTCTAGTCTACTGGGGGAGCGGGAGAAAGATGGAATAATGCTCAAAGGATTTTATGGGAAGGCAATCATGGCGATCCTATTACATGGAAGAGGAAGGAAGGAGCGATGTTTTTTCATGGTAGTTTAGAACGGGGTTGATTTTTTTTTTCCTGGCGCCATGAGGGAGAGAAGCGAGGAGGCTTCTGTTGTGTGGAGTCGGGAGGGAGCAGGGAAGAGACCTTCCAAGGGTGGCAAAAACACCGGGTCTCCATGGTGACCACATCATTAGAAAGGAGAGGCCAAAAGACGGTGGAGAAGCATCAGGACTAGCTTGTTTCCATGGCGACAGGCCCCGGAGTGGCTATTATGGGGTGCCTGCGAAGCAGCAGCCCGGGCAGGGCTGCGACCTGAAAGGTTTGAGGAAAGTTGCATCAGGACCGTACCTGGCGCGGCTCCCGGTTTCTCAAACCCGGCGGCGGCGACAGCAGCGGCGAGAACATCGGAAGGGAAAAAGAGCAGGGAGGGAGGCGGAGCGCCGACGGCTTCAGCCCGGCAGCGGTGGCGGCGCCGGCGCATGCGGGGCGCCTCCATCCCCTCCCTCTGGGCGCGCCAAGGAAGAGCGGAGTCTCCGCGGGAGGGAGGGAGCAGAGAGGAGGACCGGGAAGTGGAAGTTGGGGGTTAGGCGCACCTCCGCGAAGAAGATCCTGGGAGGGACTGGAATGATTCGCGCGGCTAGAAATCAAGCAAATCCCTCTTAAAATTATTTTTAACATTAACCTTTTGGGTGAATGGCAGCCCTCAAATAGCAAGGAAGCGCAATTTACACGGATGGCCGTTACCCGCTCTACGAAGTAGAGCAGTCATAGCCGTCTGAATCTGATCTGAGAAATGCCGGGCTTTACATACATACGTACGCACGTATCACATAGCGGATATCGAAGAAACAGGAACCGACATTTTTCAGTATAATATGGGAATTCTGCACCCTGCCTCTTGAGGGATCTCGTTACAGATTCTACCTCAAATGATGTGGGAAAGTAGCAGAAGACGGGTCTTTTCTAGTAAAAAAGCAAGGAAAAAGGTGGATCCTCATTTGTTCAGGGAACGAACTGTGTCTACAACTAACAGCAGTAAAATACTTCTGCAAAGCTTGGCATTAAGGAGGCCGCATAATCTCATAGCGAATTTACTGGAATTTCCTCCAGCCTCCAGTGTCACAGCTACCGCCACTCAGATTACTCTTCTGCTTCTTGAATGTCCCAGCCATGCCTGATTCAGATTCCAGGGAAGGCCACTATACCTGCTAGGCTGCAATCTGGGCCTTTATAGAGAGGGTGGAGTTGTTTTCAAAACCCGCCAATAAAAAGGAACAGGGCCAACTTCATTCCTGATGTGTTTTCTCCGTGGACTAGAGCACCTGATATTAGACTAGCTGTATTAATCTCCTACGGCTCTACCTGTCCCCCGTGTCTAGTGAATCACTCCCATCCTACAGTCTCATTGGTTTTCAATATTTATCCACAAGCATCCAGATCCTTAGAAAGGCAAAGGCATAGCTGAAGTTTACACATTAGTTGTACCCCTCTCCCCCAACAATGTCTTAGAGACAAAACCAGAGTTCAGTACCTTTCACTCAATTTATTTTCCAGCATGGAGAGAAATGGGGAACCAGTAATTCCATACCCTCTTGACTGGGAGTAAGCCAGATTTTTTCAAATTTGTGTCCTCCAGAGGGATTGGACTACAGTGCCAATTGCCCCCACCCAGCCACAATAGGAGTTGTAGTCCAAAGTATATAGAGAACACCTGGTTGGGGAAGTCTGAATCTTTTAAAAAATATCCTAAGGATATACAATCTGGAACTTTAAAAATATCCATTGAGTTGAGTGGTAAGTAAAATGCGACTTAGACATACGAAAGTAAGTGAAGTTCTCTTGGCCACCTATGAAAGTGGTTTGCCATTACCTTCTTCTTCTATAGATGTTTTTCTACAGTGGGTCAGAATAAAAATGCTTGCCTCTTGCATAGGTCCAAGCTGTCTAAATGCCCTTGTCGGAACATTTCCCACTCGAAAACGCTGCTTCTTTCACCTTCCAAGAGGAACCAGGCTCTCACATTTGTTGCAACTTTTACTCTTAATTTTGTTCCCAAACCGGCTTCTCTCCCCTCCGAAGGTACAAATAATATCATGCCTCCTCGCAATATTCTTTGGGTTTCTGTTTCCCAGCTGAACATATAATGTACGCAATCCCATGTCGTTGCGCTAAATCTCTTTTTCTGCACGCTCCCATGTATTTTGGAGAAATACAAATCACCCGCCTCTTTCCGACCTTCTCAAGATGGAGGAACCGGCCGACCGGTCGCACATTTCAGACTTATTTCGACCGAGACGCTCCCCCCGTCCAATCACACTGCACTTCGAATCTTCTGGGCTGGGCTTATTAGCCTTTTCGAGCTCGGATTGGTGAATTCGACGGACGCCTTGAGAAGGAGAGTTATTGAATGCAAGGGCGGGAAGAAGTTCCAAGAATGGACCGACCGTCCTTGGATGGTGGGGTTGGAGGAACGATGAAGGCGGAAGCGACAGCCGTGGAGTGAGTGTAAATACCGGTTTTGCGTGGAGATAGAATGACAGTCCCCTACTTTCCTATGTAGCAGGGATGGCATTTTACCCGAAGTAGAAAATCAGAAGGTGCCAAGAGCAGTGTTTCTCAACCTTGGCAACTTCAAGATATGTGGACTTCAACTCCCAGAATTCCCCAGCCAGTGGGTTTTTGGGG